ATTAAATTCAATATATATATATATATATATATATATATATATATAACAAGGCCGCCGTGGAATTTTTTCACTGAATTTTAAAAGTGAAAGTAGGAACCTGATGGAGAAAATCTGCTGGTATAGATTTTCCCCTAATAAAGGTCACAAAGCTTGTTCGCCATTTCAGTTTTATGCGCGATTAGAAGAATAAATGTGTGTAATAGCGAACACCTTATAGTAAACTATTAATCTTTGAGCAAATCAAACAGAACGTGTTCGCTGATTCGTTGACCTTTGTTGGGTTAGTATAAAAAGGCTGACGATTAAAAAGCGGTACACTCTTCACCAATGCAGAGAATCATCATAGCAAGCCTTCTGTTAGCAACACACTGGTAAGCATTTATATTGTAGTTCAAAGGCCGATTTAATTTGCTCACTATTTATTAATTCTTGTAGCCATTACGTCACAGCTGGCGGTGGCGGTGGCGGTGGCGGCGGCGGCGGTGGTTATGGTAAGGATCAGCTTCCAATTATGTACCGTCTATATAAATCAACTTAACATTTGTTTTCTGCAACCTTGTTTCTGACTACTTCGAAAACTGAAAATTTGATTTAGGTGGCGGAATGGGAGGAGGAAGCTATGGCGGCATGGGTGGCGGCGGAGGTTAGTCACTAGCAAAAGTTTCATATTTTCTCATAGTAGAGCTTAATGGAATGACGTGCAAGAAGATGCCAATATTTACTGGTTTGCAGTCTTGAAATTTACCTCTATAATTTACTACTTTCTCTGTCTGTAACATCATGAAGTCCATTACGGGAGTTGAATCTTAAGCCGTCTATTATGAAAAATTGAGCTTTATCTAGAGATTTATCTTTTTTTGAAAAGTGAGACAACCTCAATTCAAGGGTTTTACTGCGGCAAACTTAAAAACTGTAGGAGTTTTAGGCGGTGGAAGTTATGGAGGGGGCGGCGGAAGCTACAGTGGCGGCGGTGGTGGTGGTGGTGGTTAGTTAATCTATTACATTTGTATAATTACAATCCTCATCAAATAATACTGTTAAAGGATATGCCACTGCACCTATGCCCATGCCACCGATGCCACCATCAGGTGGATATGCTAGCAGCGGAGGCGGCAGCAGCTATGGTGGAAGCGGCGGAAGTATGGGAGGCGGCAGCTACGGAGGAGGTGGTACCGGCGGCGGCAGCTATGGAGGAAGCACCGGTGGCGGCAGCTATGGAGGTAGCACTGGTGGAGGATACGCTCAACCACCGCCTCCCCCACCTCCACCACCTC